TTTTAGCTGTTTAGCATGAACCAGTACTTCTGCCAAAATGAATGAACAATTCGTAGAGGGACTGGTTATCTCTTCGGTGCAGTCGACTCCTAGACCTGCAACTTGATGATGCGCCAGCGTCACTTCATCACTACCGTGCCTCTCACATCTAAGTAATCCTTTTTGTCATCTCTATTTTTTTAATATAAAGTAAATTTCAGCTATCGAGGAAGAGGACTCTTGGGATGGCGAAAGGGAGCTGATAAAACTCAGTGTGTTGCAGTGTAGTGATGAGGAAGCAAGCAGTTCATCTGCCCTTTCGAGCACTGGACCGAGCTCGGATCGTTCAGTTATCACCTCAACGGACACGTCATCGGAGTAAGTTATAGGCTTTCGAGAAAAGGAGAAGTCAGACAAAGCTCTGTTTTTTTCCTCCCACACCTCCATGCCTTAATAGTGGCTTTTCGGTAGCCAAAGCTACTCAATCGGTTGGCGTAGATTAGGATTTTGTTGACATGCAACCACACTAATAGAAGAAATCCCGTCCTTCATTACTCTGCATTTTTTGTACTTTTAATAAGTTACAGACAAAAAAACGCACTATATCGAGAACAAATTTCTGTGTTTGTTCTGCGTTTATCCAGTAATTTGGTTATTCAAACTAGAGAGCTGAAATTTTTCATAACATGATCCTCGATCTTTTATTAGTTTTACAACCCAATTCGACTTGTAAACCAAGAATACAAACGAACTGGAAATTCTGCTTTATAAACCCAACATTTCCGAAAATATCCCAAAAATAGGGCTTCAAATCTCATATTTGATAAAAACTCTCAGATTCAAATACTGGCTCAGCAACAACTTTACAGTCAGCAGTAACAAAACGGAAATTGTGACTTATTGATGCGTTAAATAATCCTGGAGAAATAACATAGTGTGATGAATGTGGTGTATGACTTCAGATTCAGATTCAGGCTTATTTTCTAGTTTTAAATCGGCTCCAGGAGAAAAGAAGAGTCGAAATTAACTAATGGAAAGTCTAACGATTCCATCATTAAATGATCACCCCAAACCTACACATACAAACATTCTCTGGCGAAAATGTGTTTCAGAACTAAAACGAAAGCTAAAAAGCAATTGTGTTTATGAAAGGAAGCAAGAAATAAATAAAAATTATATTGTTGCCAGCAAAATGTATGGTTGCTACACTTTGAAATGCTTTTTTTTTGCAAAAAAGCAGCCTGTGGTTGCATAAATGCAGCAGCTAGCATTAGCACTAGCAACTGTTCTTCCTTCTTCTTCAGGAGGATGAGCAGCGGTGAGCCGATCCCGTGCCTCTCCGTCGGCCCGTACCATCAGCGTCCGGCGCCTATTCTTGCAGACAATGCTTGTAAGTTTTACGTTTTTTATATCACGTCATTTCACTGCTAGTGCTTCTTAATTTCAGTGCAGCTGCCATTTTCGGTATTTTAGCCTTTTTATGCGTTTTTTGCAGCAATGCAATGCGAAAAACGCATATTGACGAAAGGTTGTCTGTGT